AGGTAGAAATGTCAAATGACAGAACTTTGGGTTGCTCCCTCTCAATTGTGAGACGGTTTCTTGGGGTGACATGCAGGAAAATAATTATTAAATAGCATGGTATTGGCCCCAAAAGACGTCGGCCCACCGCTCATTTGCCTTGAACGCCAGATGGCCAGTCCAGCCCTGACTGCAGCACATACCATTTTTTTGTGTTGAAATATGGCATGACAACGTCTCTTGGAAGGAGATTCGAGCCGAGTGACTGTCACAATTCGAGCAGAAAACGAAGGAATATAGAGATTTAGCTGCGCTTCACTGTTGATTTCTTCATTCAGTAAACACTTGCGAAATCCGTCGTGCCAATAATGCTTGAAGACTTACTTAACAACTGCACGTTGTGATCAAAATCAAAAGGTATGTGACGCAATCAATTAATCGTTCCCATTTCTGTTGCGCATATCAATTTGCTCATGAAGTGTAACAATAAATGTGTCATCCAAATATTCTACCGTACTGCTTCATTGACTCTTGGTACAGCTCACAAGTGATCACATGCTTGTGAGGAATATGCACACTTAAAGCTGTTCAGTCATGCCAAGTGGGGGAGCTTATTGAAGCGGACACTTTAATCTGCTAGCCCAGCAGGAGTGAGGATGGTGTCACCTCAGCTTCGGTATGTCATGGAGGGTTGTACTTGAGAGTATCTGGAGAGGGAATCAAAGGGAAGCAGCTTTGAGCGGGGGGGAAAGCTAGTGACAAGAAAGTCCAGCTGCTGGTGTTTGGAACAGCTGGCTTTGCATTGTACATGAAGGGGAGGACTCATCCATAAATCAAATCACAGACATTCACCGTGATCAAAAGGACATACTGTCTCCAACTTCACATTCAATTCAGTTCTCCCCTTCCCGACATAAAAGGGAATCAACACAAGTGCCTCTTTTTGGAACACATGCCTCTCAAAATGTAAAATTCAAAAACCAGTCCCTAGTATTGAAAGGTATGCGATTTGAGGACATCTCTGAAACCCAAAATACAAGTCATGGATTATTTCACAGGACATCCTAATCAGAAGAGGACATTAAAATAAGGCAAGACGGTGTCACAAAACCACTCAAATATTTCCACCTGACGTTTTTTATTTCAGTTACACGTATCACTCACTCTTCTCACAGCGCACACAATTCCAAGTGTGGGGCCCATTTCACTGTCCAAATTGCAGCCAAGCATTTGGCTAATTCTCTCACCAATTAATGACTGGGGTATCTGTGGGCTGACTGTGGTGATACCGTCATCATTGCCCCCACTTGTTACTGTACCATGGGTGGCATAGGCAGTTTTACAGAGGTGCCAAGAGGTGGCAGCTGCCTCCCTTACCAGATGCCTTGACCCTCAGTTGCCACCCTTGGCTGTTGGCAATGAATCCATCAATACTAAATTCGAAATTTTTAAATAAATGTTCCTTATATTGTCTCCATAGTGCGGGGGTCGGCAACACGCGGCTCCAGAGCCGCATGCGGCTCTTTAGCGACATCTAGTGGCTCCCTGGAGCTTTATAAAAAAATGTTTGAAAATAGAAAAAGATTTTGATCGTAGGCTAATATAGCTCAAATAATTATAGATACAGGTTGCAGCTCCAAAAAAGGAGAGCTGTAGTGTTAGTTTTTAAAAACATACACTTTATTTATGCTTTTAACAGTCTCGACAAACACAGACACGTCTGCGTCCAACTCCGTGCCTTCTCTCTTCTCGTTCAACTCGAGGCGTTCAAAGACAGCCTCCGAAAAACGGAAATTAATGATCACTTCACTGACACTAAGAAAAGCGAAAATAATGCACCAAAACAGAAAATCAAGCGAGGAAATCACAAAATAAATTCTATGGGG